GCTCACACCCTCCGCGCTGGCAGCCGCCGAAGCTGCCAGGGAGCCCACTTAGGGTTAGTTAGGGGTTTATGTGCCCGACAGACTCTCGAGAGAGGGGTTTGCGGCTCTGCTCTAGGCAGCAGCTCTTGTGGCTGAAAGCAACACCGTCCGTCTTGCAACACCGCAACCTTTTCTGTAGTCACTGACAAGACCATCGACCGAAATGGAGACGAACCACCAGGACGTCATGCCTGCTGAAGTGATGTGTGTGATTATGTGCCATCGCATCAGCATGTAGAGCCATTCAAAGCATTCAGCAGTGTAAGATGAGCCATTTCGTGTGGACGATTGGGAGCCTTCAGTGAGGCAGCGGTTGCGACGCTGGCCGTGACCGTGGTGTGCTCAGAAGGCTTCTCGTGGCGCAGGCGCACAGGGCTCGCTCACTGGACACACCCTTCCGAAGCATTCCCGTCACGGCCCGCATTTAAGTACTAACTAAGTGAAGCTATTGTGTCGGCATCTGAGGCAGCTTCTATCCGGAAAGACTCCGCTGCCAAGGCACGGCGACATCTGTTTCGAGAGTGGGGAGTTGTCGCAAGGTCACAGATCAGAACACTGACAGTTGCACAGACATTGCGCCACCCCGAAACCTGACTAGCTCGTATATGTTGCGTCCTACACCCCACGATTAGCCTTTTGGCCGAAAGGTCGCAGCAGCGGAGGCCGAGGCTTCACAGGGAGAGCTTGGCAGAGTCTGGGGCTTTTGGCTTCAGAGCTTTCGTAAGTAGCTGGGTCTGAGCGTTGACCCGTCCTACCATTTCTGTGAAGATGCACCAGCATGGGTACAGAAGCCTCCGGAGCAATCACTAGTGCCTGTCTGCCGGTATCGCTTTCTCTTCGTCAGACGGATTTGCGCAAGCGCCCTTTGGTCCGTAGCGAATGACAAGAACTGTTGGTGCCGCGACCGTTTGGTTCAAGAGCGCATCCATTCCATCCAACAGTAATCGACCTAAAGACTCTGGGGCTTGAGGCAGTTCGCAGTCGTGCTTCGGCGTCTAGCGGCCCGCTAGCGTGGACATTCCGACCCTTGACGCTTTAAGCTTCGCCACAGTGTCCCGGAAAAGGATCACAGTCGCCCCTCCAGCTTTGACATCCGAAATCGGAGAAATCCAGGCCATTGCGAACTTGGCCGACGCGGCTGCGAGGAAGCGCGAGATCCCGAGGCCACCTGAGGCCTGGGCGGGCTTTTGGCTGAGTGAGTTGAGGCCCTTTGGGAGAATTTGGGTGTTAGCTATGCATTGGCCGGGCTTATCTCAGCTCCAAGCTCCAGGCTTACATTCTTGGGAGAGCAGCAAGTTGTTGTTCGGGGTCTGCTTAAAGATCTCGAGAGTGTTTCGCTTCACCAGGATTTGGAACGTGCCCCACCCTATAATCAGAAGGGTTTGGGGGATCCTATACTGGGGGTGCAGGCTCCTCCACCTCGGCCGCAGCCGCCTGCCCGACCCCGAGATGTCGAGAAAGCATCCTCTCTGAAGCCCGTGACCAACCTCTGGGTTGCGGAGTTCAGGGGAAGGCTGAAGGATTCGGGGGAGGACGAAGAAGGAAGGGCTTGAATTGAAGTTCCGTCGGCGAGTAATCCTCAATCTGCACTTCTCCAGCGGTTTCTGTTGGAGCCAATTCGCTTCCGCAGCTTCCGAGACAGAGATGGCTCGGGCCGAACTTGGGACTAAGCCAGCTTTTGCTCTAAGCCATCTTTTGTCGCACTGCTGTGCCCGCAGGCCTCCCATTTTCAATCCAAACAGTTCAGGACAAGTCCGGCACGTACTAGGCTGCTGGACTGCTAGACCATAGGTCAATGAGCTTAGGACACTCCGCCGCCTTCGAAGCGAAAGGCCGGATCTGCAACTTGATGCAGGAAGCAGCGGCTTCTAAAGACAGGTGCATCATCAAAGCCATGCGCACTGATATGGCAATCTGTCCTAGCTGGAGACACGTGACACGACTATTCACCGACAGTCAGCGAGGAAGCAAGCAAACCTTGAGCAAACAAGGTGAGAGACTTCCTGGGTGTTTCCTTCCTTCACCTCTGCTTTTGCTTCCCCGACATAGGACTCGTTGGCGAACACCGGAAGTTCCAAGCCATCTAGCCATGCAAAGCGCCAACATGCTTCCTTGAGCAGAAACTCCGCTAACGAAGCCTGCGCCTGTCAGGTGCAGGCTGCCGAAGCGCCTGGGTCCTGGTTTGCTAGGGCATCGCTTTTGAGCCACTGCCCAGTCCCAATCGCAGCAGATCCCCAGAAAAGAGTGGAGCGGGGTGGCGGTTCCAGGGTTCCATATCTACGCTTCCGGGCGTCTGGCTGGGATCTGCAAGAACATAATAAGTCCACATCTGCCAGCATCTGAAGCCAAGTGCTTCAGGTTCTCAATCCGACTGTCTGCGCTTCTTCAGCAAAGACGTCCTGAAAGGAAACGAGCGTGCCCGGACCAAGGACCTGCCAGCAGCGCGGCGTAGGCCTCAGTTGTCTTACACCGAGGCATAAATCAAAATGGGCGAGAAGGGGCTCGGGGATGCTATTCGCGACTCGAAACAAGCAGAATCATCCACTTAAAAGCTTCGGCACCACTTCCCACAACCACATCGAAGGTGCCCGCGGCCTGGGTTGGGTGGTGGACGCCACTCCAGGTCTGAACTGCATGGACCAGCAAGTGAAGCGGTGCATTGAGAAGACTCTCTGTGTATGTACGTATATGCTTCATGCATGTACATAGAAGAAAATTTATATACTGAGATCATACTGTGTTTGGATGGTGGCTGGCTGGATGGGCTGAAGTGCGGGTGGCCAGGTAGGTGTGCATAAAATAGAAATGGATCGATAGATACATACGCAAATCTGCGAACGCATGTTCTTTCCCGTCGCCTAAGAGTGCTGCGTGGTTTTTCTTCGTGCTCTCTCTCTCTCTCTCTCTCTCTCTCTCTCTCTCTCACAAGCAGCTTCAAACTCTGCAGTCCTCGCCGCCTCAACCCTGTTTGAATTGCTCATGCTCAGCAGGCAAAGCCCGGCGGCGGTGATGTCTAACATTGGGCAGCCAGGCACGGCTAATTTCTGTCTCAGGTCCACGCCGAGCATTGGTTGAATGTTGAGAAGAGCCAAGAGCTTCCTGCCAGTTGCGGATGAAACGTGGGCTGCGCAACACCGACACGTTTCTGTTTTGGACCTGTCCCGAGTGGAGCTGTCGTGCGTTAGACTAGAGCACTTCAGATTGGAGAGTTGTTGGACCTTGCCGGGGGACTGGGATGCTACAAACTCGAGGCTGCTCATTGCTGGTCCAAGACTCTAGACTCTGGAAGTTCCGCGCCAGAGAGTGTTTCAAACATCCCTATTCTGGAGCCTTCGGAGCCAGAACTTCCTGGCGCACCGCTTGCGTCGTGCCTGAACTCTGTATTCTGGCTCATGCGGAATGAGCAGATTCTTGAATGGCTGCATCCTACACAGTGCCAATCGAGGCTCCGCTCCAGGTCATGCAAGGACGTCAGGTCGTCCCTGCACCTCGCTGTACGTCCTGCACGGTCATGTCACAGCAAGTCCTTGGAGCCGGTAGCAGAAAAGTTGCCATTTCGGACCTGCCCAAGATGCGTAGATATCTCGGGCGTATCTGGCAGATGCTGCTCAGAATGTTTGGCAGCGACCCGAGCCGCAGAGATGTGATTTGGCCGGCTGGTCTGATGTGAAAGACGAGGCTGAGCAGCCAAGTGATTGTCAGAGATCTTGTGCCATGATGACGAGCATTCAAGCCTATCGCCCTTGCGAAATGCAGACTCAGCCAAAAGAACTTACACACAAAGCCCGTTGTTTCAAGCCCTCAGCCAGGAAAGTTCAGTCGCACCGCGCCTCTCTGCGAGAGCTGTGTGTGGCACTTGGCAAGCCCTGCCGACAGCAAAAGAGGTAGATTTGAGCCGCTGGTTCAGTGCAGTTGTGGGTGTGGATGTGGATCCTGGTTGCGTGGCCTACGTATATACGTAGACCAGTCGTGTGCCGAGCGGAGCTCGCACTGTTTCCATGGCATCTGTACTCAACGTCCACGGTCCGACACAACTAATGCCCCTGACGTTTGCTGTGGATTTTTGGATGCTGTCGGTGGTTTACCCTGGGCTACTGAGTGAAACTTTTTGTCGTTTGATTTCAGGATCAGAACCAAGCGGCCCCCAGATTCTGCGACCTGGCAGTAAGAACGAACGCCGTTGGAGAGTGTTTGCCTGCTAAGATACGAACGTCCAGCGGTTGCGTTCGACGTTGCAACCGGCCGTGGCAGTACTTGGCGACACCTCCGTGGCCTTAAAAGGCTTGACTCGGGTTTCGGGCTCGTGTGGTTGACTTGGCCATGGGCTGGAGTGTGCAAAGAATGTCGGCTTTGGAGTCCCTTCTAGTGCTAATCCCGTGGCTCTGTCTGTCATTTACCTGTGGCAGCAACTACAAACCACTGTCGGGCAGTTCAAGCGCTCTAAAGTGTCCTGGAGGGTAAGCCCCCTGAGAGAGAGAGAGAGAGAGAGCAAGAACTTTTATACGTCCACGGCTTCGAGGGGTTGCCCAATCTTACCTCAAATGCTTGCATTCGCGCAGCATGCATGGAGGTGCTGCGGAAGCAGTGGACAGGTGGTCCTCCACAAGGACTTTGCAGAGCATGCCGTGGGGCCAAGGGGTTGTCGGATGTTGCCGGTGTCCTTGGCTCAGGCAGCTCTCCTCCAAATTGCTAGTTTAGACCCGCTGCAGCGCAAGGATGGGAACTACCATCTCGTGATTCGCTGAGAGAGCGCTGCAGCCGGATATCTCAAGCATGCATCCTATGGTTTTTGATGGCGAAGCCACACCCCAGCCCGCAAATCACTAGAGAAACGTTTGGAGAGGGAAGAGGGATGGCATCTTGACTCTTTTCAGCTTGGGCTCTTCCAGTTTCCCTTCAAATCCTGAGGCTGCTGAGCCTCAAGGCCTCCTGGGACCCAGCTCAAGCTCCGTTTCGCAGAGGACCGAGGAGAGTGACTCGCTGCAGAAAGCTGCAGCGGAGCTCGCAGGCACCTGGCCCTGGCGGCTACACAGAGGTTTCAGGGTCTCCTTTTGGCTCAGCAAGGCACGCTTCTGAAGGACATCGGCAGCAAGCAAAGCTGTGTAGGGCTCTGCTGAACCAAACCGGCAAGGGAGCCCCAAACCGAGGCCTCGAAGCGTCTAATAGGAGGCGCGGTTGGCATGATCACATGATTCTCACCCTGTAAGCTCCTATAAGAATCCAATCACCGCTCCCAGGACTTCGCGACGCGCAAGCGAGGCTGAAGAAGGCCTTGCAAGCGGAGTGCCCCAAAGGCCAGCCGCCCAGGAGCTTTTGGGCAGCTCCTTGATTCTGCAATGAACGGTCGCACTTTCCAAACGACTGTGTTCTGCCGCAGAAGCCTCGTCAGCAGGTGGGAAGGATTCCGCGAGCACTGGCGCCGTGGCGCCGAAGCCGAAGCGGACGAACTGCGGCGGACGGACGCTCGGCGCCCAGGGGCTCTGGCGTCCGACCAACCCAGGCTGGTGAAAAAAAGGAACTGGGCGTCTCGGTCTAGGATGCAGATGGCCTGATTATGCCTGATTCCTGAGTGATGAAGCCCTGAAGCTCCAGTTAAAAAAGTCCACTTTCCGTCAGGGCCGTGGACTTCTCCCTGTTCACCCGAGCCCGCTGGGAGGCAGAGCGCCGAGACTCGGCGGAGCTTTATGAAGTTCAGGGTTACAGATGACTTAATTGTAAGGAGAAGTTATAATGAGGATTCTAGCATGGATTTCTCCGGTGTTTATCAAATGGACCCGAAATACTTGTGTGTGATTTGTGCTGGACAGCATGTTTCGTCGTCATGATACTGGAACATTTGGCGATCCGCCGATCCGGAGCCTGCGGGAAGGGGTCATTGTGGCCTGGTGTTCATGCGTGCTCATGTTCTTGAAGATGCACACGGTGTTTGCGACTTCCAGTTTGGCGTAGTTGAATCTCAACTGTCACAGTTGTTTCTGCGAGTTGGAACTGTCAGAAGATTTCAAGCAGCTCGGTAACGAAGATCTTAGCTACCTGCGACTTGGTGTGTCGTTCGGTACACCACTAAACTGAAGCTCCTGGAGGCCACGACAAATTACCAGGTCATCAAATTGCACATCCATCTCCCACTGCAAAGGCTCGACAGTGATCACTCTGTAGTCCGGATGTCGCCTGGCAGGAAAGGGCGCATCTATGCTTGCCGGTAGCGAGGGCGATAGCGTCAAAGTCTTCACGCAGGCGCCTGCCAGAGTAGCGGCTCTTTGTTAGCCAGCCCGTTGTGGGTAGTTTCTGGGTTGTCCTTACAGGCAGGTTATCTTTTTGGTTTTGCTTTTGCGGTTTTCTGGATTGAACCGACGTCCACCATGTTTCTTGTCAGGTCATGCACCAGAATCTCTAGGCCTCGAATTTCAAAGCTCCATGGTGTTCTTGGCCCCAAGATGAGCACGGCTTCAGATCATTGATCAATCGCTTCATGGATGGGGCCGGGATCCCTCAGCCAAGTACTGTACGCAGCGACTCATCTTGTTGGTATGTCATGGGGCGGAGAGCACCAGTCCCAAAAATGGACAAGCTTCTGCAAAGCTTGTCGGGTGATTGAGGACATTAAATCTACTGTCAGGTTTTCGGGCCAGAAGTGATTGAGAGAAAGCTGGGAAGACGAATGCCACAAATGCTTGCTGCTCTGAGGAGATGCCCAAAGCCTTCCCGGAAGAGAAGGCCCGTGGCCTGACGTAGCGGATCCGGCGCCATCTTTACCCCGAGCTTTGCTTGTCTCTGCCAGGCTTGCACGCAGGTGAAGGGCCGGCACATCTTGGTTAACAACGTGGAGAAGGCTCTGGCCGGCAAATTGCTTGTGAGCTCGTGTCTGCTTCTAAATACCTTGAGTAGGCCAAAAGAGTCTATCTCGAGATGGCTGCACCTCGGCAGGCATATTATCACTTTGAAAGATTGCGCATTTGGATGTTGAGAGGTTGCGAGTTTGCCACACCAAGCTTCTTGCCAACATTGCGCTTTGATCAGGTTTCCCAAGATCAGCTTGCAAGGAAACCCAGCCAGAAACAAAAGCACTGGTGTTCGTGCAGATTTGTGCTTCGAGCCCAAGTTTAAAACTCAGTGATTCACTGCTGTCCTATGCTTTTGCCGAATTGCGAAGTTTTGCACTTGACTGATTGATGTGCCTACAAACTAAAGTTGAGCAAGCCTTGAGTAATGGCTTGACCGCTCCTGCGCTGCTATCTAAGGTCACTGGCACGGCAGACCGCAACGGATTCCTCCGGCATGCCTCTGGAGTTTTGGACTCGGATTTCAGGGGACACACTCGCGATGTGAGTCGCCAGCTTGCGACATGTCCTCACCAGCTTGTGCCGATGCTAGCCTCAAATTGTCCCTACGGCCCTACGGTGTCAACTCTTGGAGAAAAGGCCTGCCTTTCAGCCTCACGCCCCCTTGGCCCCCGAAACCAAAGCCCTCAGTTCCAAGCCTTCAGCTCGAAGCCCGAATGCCGCGCTGTGTCCGAGGCGAAGTTCGCCTCCTTGGCCTCCGAGCGCTCGGAGTGTCAAAGCGCAAAGCGCGGATGCCAAAGCAAGAATTTGCATTGCGTATCCATAAACAACATGAGAGAGACAGTGATGGTTTGATATGGTTGTCGTGATCATGATAACGATTACCATTGTCCTGGCCTCAAGATATCGGGTTGCTTTCCATGTCCTCGTCGTCCATAGTCCGAAGGCTTTTTGCTTAGTCAGCTGTCAAAGCAAGCTGCTAAGGGCTGGGGGCGATCTCGGCTGGATTGTCAAGGAGACGGGCTAGGGTTGAGCAATTTGTGTCTGAGGGGAAAGTGAAGAGCCTTCAGTAAGTTGGCCTCCAGCCATACGATGCAATGCGGCCTGTATAAGCATGTTTTTGTGTTTTTAAATGGAGCCTGAGCCGAGAGGACCCTGCATCTTCCAAGCTGCAGGAGGCTCGAACGCCAATTGGCCAGAACACTTCAGATTGCAGCTGCTGCAACGACCTCCGTTCGTGCAAATAGTAAGGAGTTGCACAGTCCGGAAGAACATCAATTTTCCGGCCTATCGAGTTTGGAATCCAGTAGCACTTACGGCTTAGTTTAGGGTGGCTTGCACAACAGGTTGTGTTGTGCCGACTTCTCGGGAATTGCCAGAAGGTTTGCCATGCCTTGGCATGATTAATACAACGCGTTGTTTGGACGACTCAGTCCAGAAGGTCGACTCTTCTGCCAATTGTGAGACGGAAGAATACCCCACACCGTGTCATCGACTTGTCAACGTGCGATGGTGTCACCAAAAATGATGGAGACCAAAGATACCTCGATCTGTGGCAATGAGCTTAGTAACATGTTGCGAAACGACCAGAGGGATTGGGAGTCCCGGCCAGAGGCAGTGTCAAAGGAGTGGGAGGAGTTGGACACGACCATTTAAGTTTTATTCGGACCCAGAGGGGACAAGGAGACAGCGGCGGGATCCCCTGAACAGAAACTTCGATACGAAACGCACCAAGCGGGAGGTGGCTTTTGCGACTCCGCGAAGCTCCTGCAGTCCGCCCTTCAAGAGCGGCAATGGCAGCTTGGCATCTCGGGAATAATGAGGCTGTAACAGAATGCCCTCCGGCTGTTTTCGGGATGACGCTTAGGGTGGTTCGGCCTTGGAGGTCCTGGAATTGCGGTTCTTTGCTTCGTCTTTAACTTCGGTGGCACGTGAAATCGCTCGTACAGTTCATTGCATGTAGTTGAACGGGACGGTATTGTATACCCAATTCAACAGGATATCGTACAATGTCCTAGAGGGTAGAGGCGCCAAGCGTGAAATTCTCTATCGCTGCTCAGAGCTCCCTGGCTCCGTTGACAAATAGAAGAGGAGTGAAACACCCGAGAGACAGGCCTTAGACCATCGCAGCGCAGACAAGATTTCAAGCTAGAAGTCCAACTGAAGTACTGTCGTGCATGGCAGAACAAAGAAGGGCGGATGATCGCTCAGTCGGACCTCTTGAATTTCATCACCGCGTGCGTACGGATGATGTGGCTTTTCGCTTGACAGCATTAGTGAAGCCCACAGAGTCTGCGCATGCTCGTCCTCTTTTTTGAGAGAGTTCGCGGCCGCCAGACATTACAGTAATGGGCGACGAATGTGCGCCCGGGATGTAAGCCCACACACAGCGTCATTTGGCACCATCTGCGCTTGCAGCCGCGGGAGTGCTGTGGAAGCTACTCTGGCACCAAGGCTTCCATATCTTCTTCTGTGAGGACAGGGTGCAGGTTTGATGACATCTCGCTGCTGGATTCGATGCCGAATAAACGCAGCTTGTAGCAAGCTCTTATTAGCATTCTTGCTATGATCCTTCGTTTTTGATGAACCATGTCGCTACGAGCAGCATGTAGCTGCAATTCCACTATGGGTGATTCCGATTATTTTGATACACTCCTGCGCCGCCTCCTCCTTGTCCTCCTGCAACCGACACGACCTCCGGCACCAGTTCCATGATAAGACTGATAACAACAACCACCACTACTGAGTCACTACTGTATCCAAGGAGGATCTCGCCTTTAGAACAGCTGCAGTTTCCGGTCAAGCACGCAATAAGTCGTAATGGGTCCCAGTACTTGGGATCTTCGTTTGAAGCCTGGTTGTGCGTGCTGGCCCTTCGAACTGGCACAAGAACTCTCCTGCCCCTGCTTGTTGTGTAGCTCTCGGATCATAGTACCTCCCACCGCTCTGCCTCCTTGCAGCAACCGGCAAACAACGTTTGGGCAAATCTGCTTTCCAACAAGTCAGGCCATAGATTCCTCGCACTGTGTATGCAGGCCGAAACTGCGTGTAGCGCCGCAGCGCATATCATTGTTCCTGCATAGTTCGGAAGTGGTCGTAGTTGCCCACGTTGGTGCCGGGAAGCCACCTGTCGACATTGACGACAAGTCGGATGTGTGCGGCAGCAGACACAGATTGATGCTTTGCCTCTATTGTGAGAGCGCTGCGGAAGTCAATATTGCCCCAAGCCTGCCAGTCTGCTTCTGTGTGAAATTCCATGTGGGAAAGGTTTGATGCCACTTCGATGCCTAATCAGTTCAACGGTTCAACGGGCTCTTACTAGCATTTGTGCCATGATCTTGGATATGAGTCATGTCATGTTGGCATGAAGCGACTCTTGCCCAATAGCCAGTTTGGGTGATTCTGAATCCTGATACAAATTTCTCAAAGTTAGTACAAGTCAGTTCTTCGACAACAACGACCCGCACGCCGACCACTGACAAACAATGAAGACGAGGACGACGACAGCTGCTGCTTCTGCTGCTTCTGCTCCTCGTCCACCTCCTCATTTCCCAGTGCGGCGACATTGTGCTATTGGCTGCCAGCTAATCTCCTCTGCGGATTGTGCACTTTACTAGTTGTGTGAAGCTTTAACCGCTGAGAATATCATGTCGGTGTTTATGTGTTCAGTGTTCATGCCAAACTCTAGCACACGACGTATCTTTCAGGAGCGCAGATGACGCCAACGAGAGACCCTGCAGATGTTGTACAGGAAGATGCCTACACAGTGCTGCCAGTCAGCGAAAGAAGAATGCGGGGGATGCGGGATCTAGTAGCTCTTCGATTCGAGGTTGTGGATGTATCAGCTAACATCAGATTTTCAAGATGACTCGTTGAGCTGGAGCTTGACACGAGCTGTGAGCCCTTCGGAGCTCTTCCACACGGCGACCCACGCTGGTATACAGCGATCCGGTAATGCACGAGTCCCACGGAGCAGAGCAAGAACCTTTAAATTGAGCGCTAAGGCTCTAAGGCTTGAGCCGAGAATCTAGTTCTACATAAGGAACCCCAAGGTATGTACGTACGTACATTCACCCCCCTCCCCCCAAGCCTACCTACCTACCTATACCTGGCCTGCCTACTTGGCCACTATAAGGTACTTACGTACTAATGGACGTACATACATACAGACATACTAATGTACCTACTTACCTACCTACCTACCTACCTGCCTACTTGCCTGCCTGCCTGCCTGCCTGCCTACCTACCTTCCTGCCTGCCTACCTACCTACCTACCTACCTACCTACCTACCCACCCCTACCTACCTACCTACCTACCTACCTACCTACCTACCTACCTACCTACCTACCTACAGCTAAACCTGGCCTGCCTACCTGGCCACAAAAAGATACTTACGTACTAGTGGACGTGCATACATACGTACCATAATCGGCGTACTGACGTGCGTACGTACCCGCCGCCCCCCCACCCCCCACCCCCTGCAGCCCCCCTACCCTCCCGATTTTTTGCTTATGTGGGTACCCCACGTACCTGTGCCGTGCCTGTTCTAGTATCGAAGTGACAGACCTCAAACTCGGAGCCCGTTGCTAGATTGCCACTTCGGAAAGTACTCGAAGCCGACTCGAAGCCCCTTGCAAGCTGCTCCAGCGTGAGCTCAATGATACAGTAACAGTATGTTGAAAGCCATTTATGCATGATCATGCAGATTCTAGCACGAGTGCACTTCGTTGTGCTGGCTCTCAGGCCCATGCACGCCTGTGAGAGGAATGTCCGGGCTTTTAACATGTGTACAGCTTGCTTCGCCCAGACCTCAGCAGAACCCAATTACAAAGCCAGTTTGTGTCAGCACGTTTTTGCTACGTTCAACCCAACCCATCAGCCACCTTGACAAGCAAACAAGAAAATTAGTGTGCCTGATGGCTCCCTCGGAGGGATCAGAGGGCGAGCGAACTATCGAGTTGAAACGAGGCCTGTGCCGTGTTTTCCTACAGATGCTTGCAGCCTCCCCTAAAGTAGTGGATGGTAAAGCTCTCCCGTCGCAGACCAACACTGACAGTTTAGGGGGATTTTTGCACACACACACACACACACACGCTTTCCAGTGCATGGCAACTACGGGTCGTTCAGCTGTAGGAGCCTCTTAGCTTCATCAGTTTCCAATAGGCATTTCCCATGCACAGGACAATCACAAGTTGGCAAAGCCGACTTCCCGGAAAATGGTGCAGCCGCCTGAGCGTTTGTGCGAGGATTCTTCAGCTTCGCATCATCCTTTTTGTTGAAGCTCGTAGATTCCGCCCGAATGCTCGAATTCAACACCAGGTCAAGACGCAAAAGTACACTCCCTGGAACTTCCTGCCCAAGAATATTTGGGAGCAGCTTCAGAAGTTCGGCACCTTGCCGGAAAGGCAGCTGCAACAATGCGAATGGATTCAGTTCAGGATGCATCCAGACTCCAATCGTAGCCGTGTTTGCGGCCGCTGAGACTGTAAGGCAACTGCTACTTTCTGGTCATATCCGTGATCATGTACCTCGGGGAGAAGACGCCCCTTTTTGTTGGGACGATCAGAGCATTCTCAACGCTTGGCCTGCTAGTCGGGGCCTTGGCAAGACTTCTGCGCTCGACTTCAAAGGTGTGACTGATGCGAATGGTTTGTCGAGTCTGAGTGTCAGGCATTTTTTGGATTGATCGGATTTCCGTGCAATGTGTCAAGTAGATTCCGCAAACACACATTTTCGCCAGGTCATGATGATGGCCGTGACGGCAGCCATGGCTTTGTATGACGACCTGCAGCGGCAACGCGCTGATTATGAGATCAACACCTCCGAAGCCAAGAAAATCAGAAAGGGGGAAGCGGAGGCGGACCTGCACGATCTCACAGTGAGTCACGAAGATCGCTGTGGGTTCTTGAGTGCCCGATCCTTTTGAAATCCTGCTGACCATGGTGCGCTTGTCTCTTCGCCAGTTAACCCCGCTCCTCAGCCCAGTCTGCGTGCCAAGCTCGGGAACAGCCTCCAAGCATGAAGTCCTCAGGCTGTGCCCGTGCAGTTCCAAAAGATAAAGGTTGGAGATGTCCTCGTCGTGTCGAAGGACACTAGACACTGGGGACTCCTTTCAAAGCGAAAAGCGATGGAACTTTTTCTAATCCAGCAACTAGGCCTGCTCGAGTTTCGGCGGCTGGTGGTGCAAATGCAAACTTTGGTCATTCTGGAAATCGGTCTTTCCGCTGTATTTGCCGGTCCAGGGACCTAGATGTTTTAGTTCCCTTGCATCTGTGAACAGGACGAGGAGTTTGCGGCGGATTGCGTGCCCATCTACTGCTCTGGTGAGGATGGCAACTGCTGCTTGGGCGCAGATGGATGGCATAAAGTAGTGCGATCATGTACATTGCCGTGAGGCTCACTTGCCTGTCTATGACTTGCATTTGTTCACGGAAGTACGCCCACTTGCAACCCAACCTCAGGAGGTTTATTTCGAAGAGGTCCACAGTGTGGCGTGACCTAAGTCCCTTAATCCAAACACAAAATCTGCTTTGCAGCAGTGCTCCGAAGAAGCGCGCAGGACCGGCCTTGGCTTTGACCAGAGTCTCTATGAATCCTAACACCTTAAACCGATCTGCAGGCTACGTCTCCACTGCCAACCTGGATGGAGAGACAAACTTAAAGCTGAAGCTTGACGGCAATGGACTGTCCTACTACGGAATGTAGTGTTATCCTTACTTGCCTCGGCTTCGGTTCGCAAATCAGACTGTCAGGGTGTTGGAAAGCGGTGGAATTGAAAGCGCGAAGTACAAGTCGAATGCATGCACGCCTCGCGTGGTTGGGAAAATCTGCGCATCCGCAGGACTTCGTCCAATTGTCGAATCTGTGACGTGCGAACACATATAAATTCACGCAGACATGCGTAATTGCATACATACATCATACGTCCCTATATGTGTGCAGCCCTACATACATACATACATACATACATACATACATACATACATACATACATACATACACACACACACCTACATACATACATACATACATACATACATACATACATACATACATACTTGCAGAAATACATAGGTACATGCATACGTGCATACATGCATACATGCATACATGCATACATGCATACATGCATACATGCATACATACATACATACATATATACATACATTCAAGCATACGCACAAACGCACGTGCACACACACACACGCACACTTCAATATATATATATATACATATATATATTTATACATATATACATACAGATATTCATATGCATATCTTTGTATGTGTATGTATATTTCTATGTATATTATACATACATACATACATACATACATACATACATACATACAGACACTTACAGACAGTTACAGACAGTTACAGACAGACAGACAGACAGGCAGACAGACAGACAGACAGACAGACAGACAGACATGCAGACATGCAGACATGCAGACATACATACAGACATACATACATACATACATACATACATATGTATATATATATGCAGTATTCTGTACAGGTATAAGTAAGTAAGTAAGTAAGTAAGTATGTATGTATGTATGTATGTATGTATGTATGTGTATATGTATATACACACACATCTACTATACACTTGTCTTGGACATAGGTATATACCTGGTATATACCTGCTTACATGTGGTATGTGCAAGCGCATTGCATATGAATGCACATGTCTATGCGTGTGAACACTCCCTTTGGAGTTTCATGTACTGCATCAGGAAATACACTTCATAAAGGAAGCAAGTAAGCAAACTGTCAGTCATTGGATGATATGAAGAAATAAATGCGCAGGGACCTGGCGCTGCTCAATCTCGTTTTGATGCTTGCAGTCACAACGGGACAAAACTTCACCCTTTCTATCAATGGAACCGCTATAGTCGAAAGAGCGAGGACGATAGCTGGACGACGGTCTTAGCTGTGTGGGCACAATTGGCAAAAGACGCCCGAATTGTCTTCGGTGATCTATGCGGCTCTTGAGAGTACACGGTATCAGGTTTTTCAAGCTTGCTTGACATCGAATGCCCTTTCGGGTGTGATCGCTGAGTCGCTTCAATGCACTAGGGACAAGTCGTGAATCCTGCATACATCTCTGTCTCTCGCTGATGACGCGTGCCTGTGCAGGAAGACAGCCAAGCCTGAGACACAAGCTGCACTCCATGGCGCAAGCCCGATCAGAGCCTTAGGTGTTCAGTATTTCACTGGAAAGGATTCCTTAATTTCAGATACTCTTCCTTGGGTTGGGTGTTGCAGCTGCGAAAGCTCAAGTTTACGTTGCGGCTACTCGGCTTCAGGCATTGCAGCCATCGGCAGGTTTTGGATGATTATTGTTGTCGTCTCGCGAATTAGGCAACATCACATATGGCACCGTTTTAACGAACTGCCGGCAAGCACGGGTTTCGGTCCGGCATACAGTGCCATCGAGAGGTTCGAGGGTCTGGTATCATTACGAACATACGCAAGTGACCCCATGCTGCATCGTACTTCTAGCTACAATGAGCATTGATGCCCCTCGTGGACATCTTGCCCGAGCTCAGTAGCCGAAGAACGGAACCGTTCAGTTTGGCTTTGCCTTGTCAGGGTCGGCCACTTGATCAGTGTCTGTGTTTGCGTTTCCCTGGCATAGCGAATCTTTATTTCATTACTCCATACCATGATCCTGTTGGATCACGGCATCATGAGATATCGTACCATTTCAACATTTCACACCAGTGGCAAATTCTGCAACACAAATATATCAATAGACTTAATGGCAACTCTTGATTAATAAACCCCCCCTCCCCCCCCGCAAGGTAGGTCAGCTGG